AGGTTAGGTTAGGTTAGGTTAGGTTAGGTTAGGTTAGGTTAGGTTAGGTTAGGTTAGGTTAGGTTAGGTTAGGTTAGGTTAGGTTAGGTTAGGTTAGGTTAGGTTAGGTTAGGTTAGGTTAGGTTAGGTTAGGTTAGGTTAGGTTAGGTTAGGTTAGGTTAGGTTAGGTTAATTTACTTTTTTTTTTTTTTTTTTTCTTATTGGTACATTGGTATTGGTGTTTGAGTGATATACAGATTTTAGGGGAAGAAACTTTGTGGATGCTGCTATTGGATACAGTCTTTCCACAAAGTTCCTTTTACACTGGGTATTTACAAAATGTGGTTTCTTAGAATTAGAGTCGCTATACAAATCAAGTTTTCCTTAGTGTCTACAAGCTATACATTATTATTGTTTAACTTACATTCTATATTTATATAATTGAGAGCTTTATTATACAATCCAATTTGTGACATTAATACATAATTTTCTTATCTTTATACAAACAAAATATTTACATATATATAAGGTTATACAATGCTAAGTTGCTTGCTGTGAGGTTATTACAGTTAGGGATTTTAACTTTTTACAATGAGAGAAATTTACTAGTTACATTTACGTGTTATTGTACAATTTTAGGTTATTAACTATATATTTAACGAATTTATCGATGGCGTCGATCGCAGCTCTGTTTAGGAGAGAGTCTTTTAGGTTGAAGGTGTCTGGTGTTTTGTGCCTAGCTTGTGCCTGTGCCTGTAGGCAATCGTGCCTTTGGGAGGAGAACCTGGAGCAGTCATTTATGAGGTGTGTAAATGTTTGTATGCTAGTGTTATCACAGGGGCATTTGTCGTCTGAGGTGATATTAAATCTGTGTAAGTATTGTTTAGTGTACGAGTGCCCTGTGATGAACTGAGTGAGGTGGAAAGAGACCGGAAGTGTTTTGTTTAGTTTGTGTATGTCTTTAAGTGATGGTAGGAGAGACCTGGTTCTTGCCCCCGTGGGCTCCTCCAAGTACCTCTTTTCCCAAGTGGTGTAAGAATTTAAGCGTGCGATGTGTTTTATGTAAGATAAGGGGCAACTAATGAAATCAGGAGCCTTATGGGCTTTAGAAGCTGCTTTAGCAGCGGCATCTGCTTCCTCGTTACCTACAATACCGGTATGGGCTCGAACCCATTTGAAAAGTATCTGTGTGTGCTTGTTGTGGTGTAATATCCGGTGTATGCTGCTAACTATTGGATGGGTATTGGATGATTGTTCTAGTGCCGCCAGTGCAGATCGTGAGTCCGAATTTATGATGCAGTTGATATTATTTTTGGTTGCCCATTTGCATGCTTCTCTAATGGCGAGGAGTTCAGCTTGAAAAATGCTGCTCGTGGGGTGGAGTTTGGTTTTTGATGTGTGTATGGTTAAATGTGTGTTAGGCGAGTGGACAATGAATGCTGCTCCAGTTTCTCCGTTCTCTTGTTTGCTGCCGTCTGTGTATATGTTGTGAGGCGCGGGTTTGATGTGTTTGTGTAGGTTGTTTTTATATGTTGTGTGTCTGATGCCTGTGCGAACCGAGGGGTGCAAGAGTTGTGAGGGGTGTGTGGGTGTCTCAATGGGGATGTCGGATGGAATTAAGTTAGTTTGGTGCTCGACGCGGGCTTTTTCGATGCATTTGATTTCATTGATTTTTATATCTAATGGGAGAAAATTCAGGCCAGGCCAGGCCAGGCAGGCCAGGCCAGGCCAGGCCAGGCCAGGCCAGGCCAGGCCAGGCCAGGCCAGGCCAGGCCAGGCCAGGCCAGGCCAGGCCAGGCCAGGCCAGGCCAGGGCCAGGCCAGGCCAGGCCAGGCCAGGCCAGGCCAGGCCAGGCCAGGCCAGGCCAGGCCAGGCCAGGCCAGGCCAGGCCAGGCCAGGCCAGGCCAGGCCAGGCCAGGCCAGGCCAGGCCAGGCCAGGCCAGGCCAGGCCAGGCCAGGCCAGGCCAGGCCAGGCCAGGCCAGGCCAGGCCAGGCCAGGCCAGGCCAGGCCAGGCCAGGCCAGGCCAGGCCAGGCCAGGCCAGGCCAGGCCAGGCCAGGCCAGGGCCAGGCCAGGCCAGGCCAGGCCAGGCCAGGCCAGGCCAGGCCAGGCCAGGCCAGGCCAGGCCAGGCCAGGCCAGGCCAGGCCAGGCCAGGCCAGGCCAGGCCAGGCCAGGCCAGGCCAGGCCAGGCCAGGCCAGGCCAGGCCAGGCCAGGCCAGGCCAGGCCAGGCCAGGCCAGGCCAGGCCAGGCCAGGCCAGGCCAGGCCAGGCCAGGCCAGGCCAGGCCAGGCCAGGCCAGGCCAGGCCAGGCCAGGCCAGGCCAGGCCAGGCCAGGCCAGGCCAGGCCAGGCCAGGCCAGGCCAGGCCAGGCCAGGCCAGGCCAGGCCAGGCCAGGCCAGGCCAGGCCAGGCCAGGCCAGGCCAGGCCAGGCCAGGCCAGGCCAGGCCAGGCCAGGCCAGGCCAGGCCAGGCCAGGCCAGGCCAGGCCAGGCCAGGCCAGGCCAGGCCAGGCCAGGCCAGGC